CTTTTTTTATAGCATAGTGTCTTATATAAAGTAAGTACTTAGCAAATAGTGACCAAGACTAAAGACAAACAAGGAAAGGAAATTGTCTAGCACTCCTGAATATAAAAAAGAATAAAGGAAGTTCTGGCTAATGAACCTGATACATTTTCTAAATAAAACATGGTGGATTAGTTAAGGAACTCCAACATATAGATTACTGAATGTCAGAATGGATGAGAAGTTATAGTAAGAGGCTATGTGGAGTATCCTGTTAGATTCTAGGATAAGGAATTCTGATTTTGATTTGATAACAAAGTTTACATATTGATATATGATATTAGCATATTTCTAGTCTATATTTGGAGGACAACTAGATAAGTAGACACAAAATGTATTCTAAGAAAAAAAATTATACTTATGGTAACATTTAATTTGAATTGTATTACATATTAAAACTATCTGCTCTAGTTATTTCTCAGTGCTTTTCTATACTTAGTAACAGACATATGATAATCAAAGTAGGTAATTTAAAATTGTGCATTATTATTTAGCCCTTACATACTTCTTAGTGTCTTGTGACACTGTCTTAGCGTCTTGCAACAAAACCATATATAGTAATGTAAGTTATAGTAATTAAATTGCATTGACTATACATTCCACATAGTAAAACTGCAAATTCCAGGAAGAAACTCCTTTTATTATACTTGCTCTGACCAAATTGCTTTATTTTCAGCTGTTTCTTTGAAACTGAAAACAAACATGGAATTCTTATTGACATGAAACATTAACTCTCCCCATACTCGTTGCTTGGTCTAGTCCATCTTTTAAGATTGTACTCACCCTTGGGAATGTCACTGAGTTTATTTCTTTGAAGAATTAGCAGCTTGAGAAGTGGAAGTCCATTTCTCAAGCTGCTTCTGTGGCGTTTCACCGACGATGACTTAAGACCCGGTAGAGCCAATGAGAGGGAGCGGATGGCATTGTTGCTGAGGTTCAGTAGTTCCAAAGCTTGTAAATGTGTAAGAGGGCGTAAGGTTATTTTCGATATGAGATTGTTACTGAGGTCCAGGTGTTTTTTATTCCGTTCTTCTTTTTTCGTGGGAGACTGGAAGAGAACCCTAAAGAAATTGGAACTTACTTCCACTGTGGCTGCTGTGTGTGATATGTCCACAGGATTATCATGCTTTCCAATAAAAGAACAATTTGTCAGAAGAGATCCACTCCATTGGCACTCAGAATTGAATAAAATACTGCCTTTTCTTGATGGGTTTGCCATTGTTCCAGTAAAATAAAGACCTATAGCCATGGTAATGGCTGCGAAACATAGGTTTTTCATAATGCCTGGAGAAAGAAAAATGAATTATTTACAATAACTTATGTAAAAACTAACAGCAAATAAGCAGAAAACTTATTTTTCTTTTTTTTTCTTATTAAAGTTTATTGGGGTGACAAGTGTTAGTAAAGTTACATAGGTTTCAGGTGTACTGTTCTGTAATACATCATCTGTATATCACATTGTGTGTTCACCACCCAGAGTCAGTTCTCCTTTCATCACCATATATTTGATCCTGAAAACTTAATTTTGAATTTAAGATTTAGGAAAGTTATCTTGCTTTGATTGCTAATTTAATTGAATGTTTCATTTCTTAGAAATAGGGGGATTAAAATGTAGCTACCAAAAATGGTATAGCTCTAGTAATAAAATTACATTTATGTTACATTCTAAAGAAAGAATTCCCTGATTTTTCAGAAAATATTCATTTGGGCCTTACCTTTGTGTCTGACTTCCCAGGATCAGTTATGCTGCAGTCAGTCTGCTTTGGAGTGAGGGAATCCTACCAAGATTAAGACTTCTCTGCTTCCTTACTGGTTATTAATACTGAGCAAAGTCTATTATGCTTATCTATGACACTGTGATCAGACATGTGGTTTATTATGTGTGACAAGCCAGCTGGTCACACTGAACTGTGGAAGTGTATGGGTGGGAAGTTCAACTCACAAAAGAGACTCTCCATTTCTTTTTAAATGACTGTAAGAACCACAAGCTTTGTCTTTGTGACTTTTCAAATCCTTTTGAAATCATTTCGATATATCCAACATAAATCAGATGGGTTATAAGAAAGAGGCTCTGCCTCAGAGCCATGAAAATGTAATAAGACAGACATATCAAGTACCTTTTTCACCAAAGATTCTTGGGAAGCAATCGAAAATTTTAAAACAAGTATCTATAAATCTCAATGGCTAAGTATATACACAAAATTTTTTTTTAAAAAAGTCAATGAGGGCCGGCCGAGTGGCTCAGTTGGTTAAGAGCTCACTCAAGAGTGTGAACTCTGAGCAACAGGGTCGCTGGTTCAATTTCTGGCCCGAACTGAGCTGCCAACAGCTGCCAACAGATGGCAGGATGGCTCAGCTAAAAAAATAAAGATAAAATTAAAAAGTCAATGAATAATTTAAAAATTTTGTTTTAAACTAAACTCCAATTAAAAACCAGTGCNATGGTGAATCAATGTTGACGGGGTACGTATTCAGGTGAATGAAAGAGGTTGGAAGGTGCATTAATGGCTGGGGCTTGGACATCAGAGGGTAGATTCTGTGTTCCAAGAGAGTAGAGTTGAATGTTGGGAGGAAAATATGGAGGCACTTTTGTGGAGATGGAATTATCTATTGAACTGCTTTCTGATGATCACACAGGCCATGAGAGACAGGAGTTTCATTAGTTTTTGCATTTAAGTGGCCAGAGGCAATTTAACTTCCAAGAAACTATCTCAATGTCTAGTAAAAAAACCAGCCACAGAAGGTATGCCCAGATATTACACCATCTTAGAAACATTCCTTTGGACTATGAACTTTGTAAATGCTCTCCCATGTGTGATAAACTGATAGAGCAATGATATTCAAAGGTTATGGCTTCAAGTTCAAAGAGTATTAAGAATTGGAATAGGGTCCTGAATGGTCCTAGATAAGATATTTGATTCACAAGGCCAGCTTTTAACGTGGTCAAATTTATATAGGTGAGCCAAAGACTTTGCTCTCTTAGCTTAATGACATACATTCATTTTGTTACCTTATAACCTGAACTGGTTTTGAAAAATTGCTTATTGATATTTCTGTAATCCAATAGCAATCAGGATGAAATGTTAAATTCCCTACGAAAGAAAAGAACACAACATATTTTTGTTTTTACAATACATTGGTTATATTTTTTCCACTCCACCATTTTCAAAGTCAGGTATTATTTCATCTCACTTCTAAACCATTTGTCTGTTGGGTTCTGGAATTTAGTGAGTTCATTAATGTCAGGCTGTCACATTCTGGTCTGTCAACCTAACTGGAATCCTAATGAGATGTTGGTCCTGATAGGTTTCTAGGTACTCTATGAGCACTCCAAAAATTCTGCTTGAGGAAGGTGGGATAGTTTAACTGGAGACCCATCCCATTCTTTTAATTTAAAACTAATTTTTCCATTATTAACACTGTACCCCAAAAATATGAGAGGCAGGTAGAATGCTCATTATGGTTAAATTCACAGCTGGCTTCTGTTTTGTAAATTGCATTGGCTGGCACTTCCTCTGTCTGTTTTCCCAACATGAAGCTTAGCAGTGACATCACAGCTGACTCTGAAGACAGGGGATCAGCTGACATTGGGTTAGGCAGTGTGATATTTTACCCTTACAAAAGTGGGCTTTCCTGAGTGAAAGCAACTTTTTGTTGGCTCTATAAACTGTCACCATTTTAAGACATGTGGGACATGATTTATAAAGGTACACAGGTGCTACAAGGCCAGTTGCTTGATTGCTGCTTTCTCAGATATCTCTAAGTTATTCATTTAGATGAGAGCAAACACCTATATAAATAGTTAGACACAAATGATTCTTGGCTCATGAATTATAATGGGCTAAGGAGTCCCATCTACAATAGTTATTTAACATTTTAAAAGATAATTTGAGATTTTGACAGAAACAAATTTATTATTTGTTTATAAATAGACTGTTATTGTCAATTTGTGCCAAGGGAGTAATTATAAGTAATATTTATAAACTACAAGGTTACAAAGTATTTTTCACATATTTTAATAGCTACCATTTATTATGCCAAATGCTATGGTAAAGTTAGGTTCTTGAGATACATTTTTCTTTACTCCTCACAACAATTCTATGAGTAAATATTTTATTATCCATTTTTACCTTTAATATAGGTTTAAAATAAAGGAATCAAAAAAGAACAAAAGAATAGGTCAGAAATAGCATGGCATGCTAGGCAGCACCTCTCTCTTATTGGCTTTTTCCTCCAAAATGAGATTTCAAAGTCAGAGTTATCCAACCATCGTCACAGAATCATAAAACGGGAAGGGATGTTACAAGGGACTCAATCTAGTAAAAACTGAAAATGTAAGATGATTTTGGGAAAATAATTCAAATCACAAAATGCCATGGGTAAAAGAACTCCGAGTTATACCCAAGTAGATTCAGGGCTTCCACTGGGCTTTCAGCACCCATCTGTTTCATTCATCTCTCTGTGATTTCATGTGCTAGAGTTCTAGTGGAATTTCAGATACAGGATTTGCTAATTCCCTCCCCCCACCCTTTTTTTTTTTTT